TCTCAACCACAGAGTCCGAGAGAGAAAGGCATCTGGGTACGACAGAACTCCAACGCCTCATCCACGACGTCAGACGACAGCAAACCACCAAGCAACTTCTGGGACTTTTTCACTGGCAAGGTGTCAGGCTCAGAGACTATAGTTTGACCCCTAAGTGAACAGATGTAATGTGGGGGTTGAGTGTGGACCCGTTAAAGTATAGAGAGAGATCTGCCAGTAGACACACACACCGAAATAATGTATCTGTAGACGCTATACTGTTTATGTAATATAATCTTAAATAATCCTACTCCTCTAGAACAAGACGGGTTTTCAGAATACATTAGATTATCAAAAGAATCATTATAAACCTGTCAGAATAGTGTATTTAATCAAGAAACAGACCTCTGACTATAGAATGTAAATATAGCACAGGCTGTTATAAACCTCTCTATAAAGAAAGCAGCTTTTATATTCATGAATCCTCAACATGCACTCAGTGGGCACTGAAAATTTCAAAATAGTCTACATTTCAAAGGCTGAAATCTCTTATTATATTTGTTTACATTAACATTGAAGCTTTCTGAAGTTCCCCTTCTGGCTATTAGTTTTATCATTTTTCTGATGTATTGGCAGCTGATTGAGGCTTGGTCTTTACCATTACAGAAACTTTTACATATAGTAATATCTTTTTTTAAATAAAGTGTATATAGTACATTTTGGTAGCTCTGAGTTCTTTTTATCTGAACTAAATGAATTTGTACCATTAAATGTTGTACATGTTGCTTTTCAGATACCTGTTGTCAGAAGAAGCCCTTCACTCCAAAACTTCTTCAACGACCATTCACAGTCTGAGAAAAATCAGATGAAATGGAAGATGTTTTTGGAAGAATAAGACATTTTTTGAAAACTTTTAACCATTTGGAGAACATGCTCTGAACGCATTGCATCACTGAACCACAAGAGGGTGATATTACATAAAACTTGCATATTAATAGATCCTGTATAAATAGGCCAATTTGAAATTACCTGGACTCTGTTGGGTTGGATCAAAAGCAGGGTTTCCTCCAATAAGAATAACACTGTTCAGAGTGAGCACTGCCATTTCTAGAAGCAGTCTAATAGCCTACAAACTAACAACAAAAACTCACTCTAATCCCAAATCAACCTACCCAGCTCCATTGCAAGACTGATCAAGAACTCAAATTCATTTAGATGAAAGGACAAAATATCTTTAGACTGAGTTGGAGCCAGGCCTTCTTTGTGCACAACCTGAAGATCAAGGTAGTTTCTCTACTCCTCATTTACTATTAATCATTTTATTTGATTTTTAATCATTTTTCTCGTGGTTTTTTTCTAATCATTTTTAAATAATCTTAGAATTATGTAATCATTTTAAAGGTGCATTCAGTACTACTTCATATAGCATTAGTGGATCACCACGACAATCTCGGCGTTTTATGTAAATTACACTGATACAAGTGAGTTTTAGAGAGCGGTCTACACATAATTCATTCCCTTACCCGTCCAACAAAAGAAGCAATCTGGGCTTCCCGCTCCCCCTCAGTCTCATGTAGATTTTTTCCGTCATCAAATCTTTCCACCTTTTGTATGACGTAACGATGTTGACGCCGGGTTTTTTTTCTTTTTGTCAGTCTTTCTGTTATGAATTGTCTGTTTCTTCGGCTGTACAGGTACCGATTCTCCCGTTGTCTCCGCTGGTAAAGCAAGATATGTGGGCTTACAATGACTTACACTTGTAATTTAGCTGTTATGTATCTTTGTATGCACTACTTGCTTTATGCAAGCACTATATAGGATAAATCACTATACAGGATTTACCCTATTATACTTTATCGACATGAATTGATAGGTGAAACAACAAACAGCCACCCACAAATAGTCTATAAACAAAGCATCAGGCTGTCTTTGAGTTCACATGAACAACGGTTAAAGTTACTCGTCGTCAGGCTACAGAAGAATACCATAATTCCTCCGTTCAATTAGACCTATAAGCCATCGAGAGTCACACAGACCTATAACAACCCAGCCACAACACTTAATTGCGAATAACATGCCTTACCTTAACACAGAATCGACCACAGAGTCCAACGTTTATATTTTTTCTACGAATCTTTAAGTTAACATGTACTAAATATGAGTGGAATTTGCACCGCAGCGCCCCCACACCGCCGTCATGCTTGAATGAATGTTATTTTTGCAATTTTACACATAATAATCCACGATGATCAAATTACACAAAACTGAAATTGCACGTCAAAATAACACTTTGTCAATATTTTTTGAGACCCCCCAAAATTTCACAAATCACGTTTTCAGGGGAGCCCATGTCTTATTAAGGGGAGCCGAGCTCCCCCTAGCTCCCCCCTAGTTCGCACCCTGCCTGCGCATCTCCAACAACACTACGCAGGGTTGCCAAGTCCGCGGTGAGCTGGTGTACTTTTAAACTGCCATTTTAAAACTGTGTTTATGGTCACTTGCATAACAGTGACTGTAAAGATATGGGATTTAGCTATGGGAATTGCATATTTTGAGTTTTAATATTTGGGATATGGTCACTGGGCTATTTGTGCGCTATTTTTGATTGGCTATTGGGCTATTTCGTTACGCATACCTGGCAACCCTGACACTAAGCAACTAGAGTAACTACCGAGGCGCCAGCCAATGAGCGTGAGGATTTTCTCAGTCTTTTCAAAATAATACTTTCTTTAGGCTATTGAAAACTGAGTCCAGTCTTCCTCTCGTGTGAGTGTACAGCATTAAAATGACTCTTCACAAAACCACAATATATTTCTTAATGTATAACACTTTTAAACTTTTTCCCTGCCAAACACGGAATTTTCCAGGTTTCTGCGTTTTCAGTTATACGCCCGGGGGCGCTATTACACATCTCCTGAATGAGTGCAGAATCTCTCGATTTCAAAAACAGGTGAGGAAGACGCAGAAAGGAGCGATCTCATGTGACCCTGGAGCACAAAACCAGTCTTAAGTCGCTGGGGTATATTTGTAGCAATAGCCAAAAATACATTGTATGGGTCAAAATTGATTTTTCTTTTATGCCAAAAATCATTTGGATATTAAGTAAAGATCATGTTCCATGAAGATATTTTGTAAATTTCCTACTGTAAATATATTAAAACTTAATTTTTGATTAGTAATATGCATTGCTAAGGACTTCATTTGGACAACTTTAAAGGCGATATTTTTTTGCACCCTCAGATTCCAGATTTTCAATTAGTTGTATCTCTGCCAAATATTGTCCTATACAAACCATACATCAATGGCAAGCTTATTTATTCAGGTTTTTAGATGATGTATAAATCTCAATTTCGAAAAATTGAACCTTATTTTTTTTTATGATCAACATTTTTACAGCTGTCTGGATATTGTCAAAATTCTTGCTAATCAGTCTCATCTCTTTCTCCAGAGTTCCAATTATTTCGGCGATCGGTTGAAATTCCTCCTTAAAAATTTCCCAAACGACGCCGAACTGTAGCTTTAACTCGTCAGCCACCATGGCACGCAGCGCTTCATTAGCAGGCTCTTTCTGCCGTTTTTTCTCCGGAGAGGACGGCAAAAGCTGTCGTTTAGCCATCACAGAAAAATAAACAAGTTCAGAGAACAAATATAAGAACGTTGCGCCGAGACTATAACTTAAACGAATGGTTCAATGACACCGGGTCTGGGAGCTTTAGACTCAAGCGGCCATCTCTGTCAGCGGGTCACGTGATCTCCGAAAAATTGACCCTTATTACTGGTTTTGTGGTCCAAGGTCACATATGTAAGCAGATGCATATGAAAAATAATGAAAACTGCCCAGGTTAAATGTCGATCCCGGAAGTGGTAAAGGACTGTGAAGCTTTGGAGGTGCTGGTGGAAGCGATCTACTGCATCTTTGCGTTGATCGTCGAACTGAATGATTCAGATATAGTATTTAATAAAAACGCTCAAAATGTTGCTTTTTTTTATGAAACTTACCTGCATTTAAGTGTTGATAAAAAAATGAATGCGTGAAGCTAGAATATTTTTTTTTAGAGTAGAGTATTGCATGTTCAGATATTCATACAACAAACTATTCAGGGGGCCAAGAAAGTTTAGTGAAAATGATCAAAAATGCTGGCGGTGGCTGGCAACATTTTTCAAAAGCGCTGGCGGCGAGTCAATTTAACACCAAACTTCTGAATGCACCTGGCCATGAATTTATTAGTCTCCAAACACAATAGTGAAGAATGAACATTACTAAACAGGACCAGCATTTTATTTACTTTTTACTTTGTGTTTGCAAATATTAGTTTTGTGAAAATGTACCTTCATGAAAGTGATTACATGTTGGCACAAGCTATGATTGCTTGAAACCACATGGGTGTTGCCCAGTTTAATAGCATCATAAAGAAACACAGACCAAATGAACCCCCTGGAGGTGGTTGATGTGTTTTTGTTTGTTTTTTATTTGGGACAGGGTGAGTCCCATCTTTCATCCATGCTGTCCACTCCACTCCAAAACCAGATCATTCACCTGGTTTACAATTTGTACATTGCTTTATCGAAAGTGCACTTTTCTTTTCAAACCCAGTATGGAATAAACATCATTACAATGTTATTGGAAGGGGCAGGATGAAACACAACTAACGTTAGCATGACGTAGCATTAGCTTGTGTTTGTCTCATGTTTTGATGTAGTTTATGTCTGTCTGCTAATGCCAAAACTCTCAGGGTGCTGTTAATGTGATCAGTGCATTAACTGTTTCTATGATTAGTAACAAGTCTCAAGATTGCAGCATTAATCTGATAATTCCAACATCATCAACCTTACATTTCTGTTTCACCTCTCTCCACATAACATACAACAGACCTGGTGTCCAAATAAAGAACAAATGTATAAAAAATGATAATGTCAAAGAAAAGTTAATATAACATTTATAATTACACATAAATAAAAGCCCAAATAAAAGAAACATTCCTTCCCCCTTAACTACTAGATCACAAGCCGAGTGAACTGGGAGAAGTGGCTCATCCTTCTGGCCGTGCAACATCACAAACTAGAAACAATCCTTTACTGAGTCCCCTTAACCAATCTAACTATTACTAAGCCAAGTCACAGCTTAAACCCGACATTTACAGACAGATCCAAGACTGCACTTCGGCATTGGCTGTGCTTCACTTCCCATCTAGGTCTATGCGGAGTTAAAACATTATTAAGTTGGCAGAGGAGACGATAGAGATCTAGAGAAGAGTTGCTGAGATTAAAGAGTAGATGCAGCCAATTCAATCGGCTTAATGAATCAGGAGACTTTATCATGGAGTGAAGATCCATATTACGTTTGAATTAACCAATATTTCGACTGTTTAATGGCTAAACTGAATGAGTCCACATTCATTTCAGACAATCTCACAGTGTTAATGAAACACGACTGGAAATGTGTGCAGCTTTTGGTTTCAATAAGACAGGCATTTATGAGCTTTAACTTGTATTCAGAATAATATAAAGCCCTAATTTCTATCTCCATCTGTTACACTTTACAGTTAGTGCACTATTAAGTGTGCACTATATGACACAATCAAGCTGTACACTCACTTGCAGTGCACAAGAACTGGCAGAATGTTCTACATTCGTTGAATACTGAAAGAGCATTCTTAAGCCAAGCCACATCCTGTATACAGGCACTACTCTGGTATCCACAATCCTCTCTACTTAACAGAGCAGAGCACCCATCAATCCACAGGCCCTACATGAAATCACTTGTCAAGTTCTCAACACAAAAAATGCTCATCCCCTTCAAGCTAATTTAAACATGGTCAGGTTTATCCATTCAGGTGCAGCTCTACTATAATTACAACATGAGCTACTGGTTCTGCATACAACACATTTATAACTAGCTGGTTGACACTGATGTAGCATGATGTGCCATGTTTGACACTGCAGATGAACATCTGAGGGTGAAGAACTGTCAAGTGGCTTTCTGGACTGATCATGACATTGTGCCAAAACAAAAATCATGACACACCACCCAGCGATGACGAACGTGATGTGTAGAGAAGTGAACCAGATTATCAAAATGAACCTTATTACTATGTGTGGTGGGGGAAAAAAAAGGTTTGTACAATGTCCATTCTCAGGCCATCGAGACATATGTTTAGCTCATTTCACATGTATATATGTGCGTTTTGGTGTGTGCCGAGCAACACAAAGCAGGCGAGTGAGTCGAAGGCGAACCAGATGGCGATTACTTCTGCCTGATGATTACTGTGCTGTGTCCAGGTCACTCTGACATCAACTGCTCCTGTCTGGGGCCTGATTGATGCTCCGGTGCAAAGCTCCACTGATAAGCCTGGATGAAAAGGGACTTGACTGAGAGGGGATGGAGCAGGGGGCCGAGCTGTGTCAACAAAGCCCAAGCCTCCCTATCTGCCTGATCCGGTCTCTCACAAATCACGCCCTCCCATTCTGTCAGTCACTCCTGCTGGCTCAGTCTCTAGACTGGTAGAAGAGTATATACCCTGACTCAGAGTTTTTGGAGATGTCCGATGTCAAACCGAAGAATTCCTCGATCGCTTGGGCGTCTATTTTCTGTGTGGGGGAAAAAAGAGAAAGAGATACATAACTGGATTTAAAGGAAAACGTATTTAATCCGTTGTGATAATTTCTGAAAACAAACCTCATTGGTTCTTGCGTGCTTGTATGACACATAAGAACATGGTTCTCATTTTAAACAAGCACGTTTCCGCTTCAGTTTGTGATATTTGATGTGCACCATGTATGTGCATTGATCAATGTTTATATGTGAATAAAAGCCTAAATTAAATACGTTTGTCATATAAAGTGATTGTCTCTCTTCAGAAGATTTGGATTAAACTGCGCAGTTCATATGGATCACAATTACTTTCATTTTATATACGTTTTAAAGCATCAAAAGTTTTCAGTCAATGGATTTTCAATGAAGGGACCAAAATCTCAGATTTCATTAAAAAATTATTTCCTCGAGTTCCAAAGATGAGCAAAAAAAGTCTTACAGATTGGAACAACATGAGCAACAGGATATTTCAACCAAAAATGAACATTCTATCATTTAATTACTCTGTCATTCCAAACCTGCATTGTAGACGTTTTGAAAAATGTCTTTCATTTTTATTATTTATTGCATACAACAAAACTCTCTTTTGTGTTTCACAAACGAAGGAAAGGTTTGGATCCCTTCAAATGATGAAGCTTGTGATTTCTGTGCAATTAGCAACACCGAACGTAATTGCAATCTATTTGAATCATAACAGGGTCAAACAAAACAAGACTGGCTCAAGCAATAACCAGAAATTCTGCAGGGTGTCACTAGTGGTGCAGAAATTACACGATTCACGTTTAAGGGTGTATTCACACCAGGAAAGTCCGCTAGTTCACTTGCTTTGGTCCAGACCAAATACAATGTTCTTTTTTTTGTTTTGTTTGATGCGGTTCGCTTTCACACTGCCCTTTTTGCAAGTGAACCAGAAACTGTAAACAAAACCACACGTGTGCGTAAGGTCATCCATTCATTGGTTCATCCATTCAACCGGACCGAGACCACCTCTTCAGCTGGGTCTCGGTACGGTTGTTTGGTGCGCACCCGCACACCTGCCCAAAAGATTCGCACCAAGGGGGGAAACAAACTTGAGTTCAATTCAATCGAACTAAACAAGACAGGTGTGAATACACCCTAAGTGACTAGAAATTTACTCTGTCCAGAAAGCTCTTATTTTTCTCTTTCCAGATGTGCAGATGGGAAGACATCAGATAAAAAACAGATAAAGAACATCTGACTTTAGCATGCAACAGAGCTAAGCACTGCTCCCTCTGCCTCAATTTAACATATAGCGCCTTACACCGCCACTGTGCTTGGTATTTATACAAGACTGCTGTTTATGGTACGAGAACCACTTCATGTTCTGAGAAGCACCTGAGAGTTTGTGTTCACAACATGTGAGTAAATATTTGTCTAGGTTACTGTGTAGCAGAGCGGATATCACATCTGTGTGTCAAAACCAAATGGATTTATACTATAAATGTGGTGGAAAATCTGTCTCAATGTCGATTCAAGGTACGCTTTTACGCTAGCAGTGTAGCGCAAACCTAAACAATCAAGTGGCATGAGGATGTTATGGAAAGATGGGGTTGGGTCACAATTCATATAGCACTCTTTTTAGTATGTTTCAACAAAAATTGCTCTTTGAAACAAGACACAAATTTCTACATTCTCTACATCAAGTTAAACTATTCAAATGAATAAAAGTGTTGGTCTTGGTCTCATTAATGCATCACTACTCCTATAATTCATTCAGAGAACTCAAAAGTATTTGGGTCAATGTGAGGACAACTCCAGACAAGCACTTAGTGAAGCATAAGCAACAGCTACAAATCACCTGAGAGGGGAAGTTGATACATATGCTACTGTGCAGTGCTAGACTTCCAGATACCTTGGGCTGCAAATCATACATTCATTGCTAGACAACGCAAACTAAATGTGAAAATGAACATACTGTAATAACAGCTGGAAGAAGAAACAATCAAGTTTGCTGAACTGAAACTGATGCTTTAAAGGTGACATATTATTCCCCTTTTTACAATATTAAAGGTGACATATTATGCCCCTTTTTACAATATGTAATATAAGTCTCTGGTGTCCCCAGAATGTGTCTGTGAAGTTTCAGCTCAAAATACTCCACAGATCATTTATAATATCATTTTGAAAATGCCTATTTTGAGTGGAAACAGAAACACGCAGTTTTTCGGGCCTGTGTCTTTATGCAAATGAGCTGCTGCTCCCCGCCCCCTTTTCCAGAATAGAGCTGCGCCATTACAGCTCGTACCTGCTAAAAACATCTGTTTTGGTTCTGATTATCATGTTTATCGAGCTGAAATCATGCGTTTTAAACCATACGAGTTTAAACTTCAGATATAAGGTTTTCTGAGCACACACATCCGAAGCACATGGACAGAAAGCTGCTGTCACAGCATGTGAGTACTAAGTTAAAAACACACGAGTTACAAAAACAGTCGGTTATGTCTGTGAAGGTAAACAGCTGGGAAATAAATCGCTTGTTTATTTTAGATCTGTGTGGCAGCAGCAATATACAGTAGCCTAAATAAATCAATAAATCCACTGCTATCGTCGTCTCTGAGGCTGGGACTGTAAATAGTGTTCTGTGCTCGTCTGTGCAGCCAAAGACAGAACAGTTAGCATGTTTTGCTCAAACTTTCGCCATGGCATTAGAACTGGTACACCGTTGTCACTTGCGAAATCAAAATGATGGCGCCATGGTTGGAAACTTACAGATTAAGGGGCGGTAATATTATAATGAGATCCCTTTGCCACGTCACCAAGGGAGCGAAATCAGACGCGCTCGTTTTCTCAGACGCTTGCAGAAAAAGGCTTACCAAAACAAAGTGATTTGGTTAATCTTTTTCACGTTTCCTTGGTTGGTAGATGCACCGGGGACCTGATCATAGCACTTAAAACCTGGAAAAGTCAGATTTTCATGATAGGTCACCTTTAAGGTCTCGGGTGTTGTTGTTTTTTTAGATACTTCTACTTTCGCTGCTTTAAAAAAAAAAAACTGTTCTAGGTTAAATACAATTTTTAGCTTGATCAAAAGTAGTATTTCAGAAAATTTTCACCTCTTTGAAAACAAAGAATAAACGTGTAAAATCATTGAAGTCTATGGGCCAATAGTATTATTTAGAGAAATAATGTATATGATCTTTTTTAGTTAAATTATAGTTATATTTAGAGTCAAAATATGTTTTCTCTGGATACTAACAGCATGTTACAGAATTGTTGTATGATACCTGGAATACAGGAATACATTATTAATTAATTAAGCAGAGCAACAATTATATTTTGACTTACCTCTACAATGTCATCATCAAACAGCAGCCAGAAGCCATGACTCTTCACTATAGTGATATAATGACCTCGATTTGGACCACTACAAAAAGAAAACATATTAACAAGATATGAAGAACAGAAACAAAGGTTCCACAGCGCTATGAACAGAAGAGAGGGATCCCAGGGCTCACCAGAGAGAAGACTTCTGTTTCAGTGGAGGATCGATTTATGACATTGTGATTGAAAATTTCAAGGTAAAAAAAAAAATAATAATAATAAATTAAAAAGAAAACGTATTCATGGATAAATCATTCACAATAGGATTCATTTAGGAAAAAATAAAATTTTCATTGCATGCCTACTTTAAAAATTACCACACAAACAATATACTGCGCTCTTAACTTAAAGGGGTCATATGATGCGATTTAAATTTCTCCTTTCTCTTTGGAGTGTTACAAGCTCTTGGTGACTTTAAACCGCATAAACACATTTCATTACACTAAATACACAAAATAATGTTCTTTTTAGCAGCATCATATGACCCCTTTAATACACAATCCTTCAAGATAATAAACCTTGGTTCCTCAAAAATAAAATTGTATGTATATAAAAATGTACTCAGGCCAGAAGCAGATGAGTTTTGTGTGTGTGTGTGTTAGAGGTCTGCACGGGCTTTAAAGTGCCCCTATTATGCCATTTTTAAGGTTGCTAATATTGTTTTATGAGTCTCCTAAAACAGGTTTACATGCATGCAAGGTCAAAAAACACGTTAGTTTTCTCAAAAAATTAAATTTTACCTCATTTGTAAATGATTCGTAAATGACTCGTGCGAAGCAGTTCAAAAAATCAGTCTCTCTAAACCCCTCCTTTCCGTGAGCCCTCACTGCTGTGATTGGTCAGATGGCGAGGTCTTTTGTGATTGGTCCAGAGCCGTAGAGAGATTGGCTCTGGATTGGTCTACCGCGTACAGCGCGTGTCATAAACAAAACGCCCATTACCATGACGAAATGACAGCCCTGGAGACTTGTCAATACATAGAAAAGATGGTATCGATTGTACCTTACCAATTCGAGCCGGAGTCTGATGATGAAACGGTTGAAGTGGCTGATCGACAAGAAACTGATTCGCAAGCACGACTGGAGTAGGACATTTCTCAGTGGTAAGTGTCAAGTGTTAACAAGTTTGTGGTAATTATAAGATGTGATAAAACAAAGTTACTCTCACAGTGTAGGATACAGCGTCTTCTCGACATGATGTTAACCACATGGAAATTTTACTGTTTATGGGCGGTCAAGCTGGCGACGTAGAACATGGGCAGACATTATGCTGCGAGCCGACTCTTTTTTTTGTTAGACAATAACTTTATTTATCATGCACTGTCGGCTTCACAACTTTGCAGATAGTTTATGTTCACATACAGCTACACGACACACTGCATGAAATGTAATATTCGAAAAGGCATAATAGGGGCATTTTAAACTGAAGCCCGAATCCGGCCCGTACCCGAGATCATCTGACGCGACCCAAGCAGCACAGTTAAATGTAGAGTCCGAACTCGACATCTTTTTTTCAGGAATAGCCAATTTGAAAAAAAATGCTGTATTTCACAATTGCATGCAACGGTCAGTAAACAAATACATGTAAACAGAAACAGAATCATTAAGGCTCAGCCAGTTCACAAGGCAAAAGGAAAAACGCTTACCAGTTATGAAAATTTATGAACATCAGGTGCAGCGTTCACATAAATTCTGCCGAGTTTTTGAATGGTTGTATACGACAAGAAGATAATTCTTCCATCGTGCAAATTATGGTCATTTTTGTCAGTTAAAGGTGGTGTAAGCGATTTCTGGTAGCCAATGTTGACATTTGAAATCACCAAAACAAACACGCCCCTACCCCAAAAGGGTCTCGCCTCTATTTTGATAGCTCCGCCCCACACATACGTACGCAACCCATACATAGGCAACGATTAGTTCTATGAAACAAAGCAAAACCAATGTTGCAACATGTCTACACCGGACGCGAGCGGTGCGGCGCTTTAGGACTGATTGACACAAATTTCAAATGATTTTCAACGGTCGCTTTGTCGCGTCCAGTGTACCAGACAGACAGACAACTAGCTGTTGCAGCGCAGACACGGTGTTACTCACCTATCGAGGAGAAACAAAGCAACCTCGGCGTCCGATCGCAGGCCTTCCGCTCCTTGAGTTCTCTCCAGCACTGGAAAGCTGATCCGATATTTATAAATTTATAATATATATATATATATATGTATATATATATATTTATAAATTTGCACTGGCTACCAGTAGCTGCTCGCATTAAATTCAAGGCATTAATGTTTGCC